ACAGGTCTCAGACAAGTTAAAAGAAGCTTCCAGGTTGTTGATAGCTGTGCAGGGGGAGGCCTTCCCACAGACGCATTTCACAGGCTTTGGAGAACCTGACCAGAGCTGCAACCAGACCCGTGTTCCTGGCGGAGGCTCTTTCATCCTCACCCTTTTCCCTGGCAAGAATCCGCCCCCTCCGTCACCCCCTCCCCACATCCTGGCTGAGCACCTGCTGCACGTGTGTGTGATGCCACCTGCGGGGCCCCGAGAAGGAGGCACCAAGGTGTAGTGTCTTTGATTCCAGGCCGAGTGCAGGATGGTGGTAATGAGGTGCCGGGATGGGTGACCTGGATAACTTGTGCCAATGCAGGTGGGAGTTGAGACCCAGAATTTCCCCCAGACGTTCCATGGGCATCTTCAGGAAAGACCCTTCTGAAGGCACTGGGGGTGGGAAGCTCAGAGGCATCCTCAGGCCCCTCATCACAATTAGGCAGACGGGCACCAAGTTACTCTGCTCCTCCGGCCAGGAGCTGGCTTCCGTCCTGTGGGAATAAGCCGGACCAGAGTGCGTCTCCTCTGGAGAGGGCATGCGTCCAAGCCTGAAGGTTGTTGGAGGGCTTAAATTTACTCCAGGAAAGAGGGGAGACACTGTGATCTGACACCTGTGCATGTGGTCCCCAGATGGCCTCGGGCAGTTCTGTTATGACGTCACCCATCCTGGAGACGGGCTGGCTGCTCTGTCAACCTCCCTTGGAAAAAATCAAGGTCTTGTTTGCCCGGATTTGATCCATGTTCATTTTTCTTCCCACCTTATTTCCCTCCAGGTCAGAAGAATTGCCTTAAATGCCACCCAAGCTGTAAAAAGTGTGTTGATGAACCAGAGAGATGTACTGTCTGTAAAGAAGGATTCAGGTAAAACCCTCCTTTCAAACCTGAAGAATGGCCGGCGGTTAGGCTGCTTTTAGTTTCTGTCATTGATTTACCAAGTATTTACAACATTGTTTTTTTCCTTAAAAGATCAAATTTCAGAGACCCAAAGCTTTTCTGGGTAAAGATTCTGAGTCTTGTCAAAATCAGGTTTCTGCTGAGAGATTGATGTTAAGATAGTAAGTTTGGGGATGGGTAAAATCTCTACATTTTATGCAGCATTTGGAGAATTGCCAAAAGCAGGAGCTGATGGTATCAGAGACAGTCAGGCTGGCTGCTGGAAGGAGGGGGAGTTCTAACGGGGCACCAGTAACTCCACCTACCCCAGCGTCCCCTCCTGGTTCAGGCAGTAGGGGGCGCCCTGGGAAGCCCATCCTCCCTCCTCTCCTTTACTCCTTCTTCTCCCCGCCCCGGTCACCTCGGGTTCTTCCATCCCCTTCTGGGTGGGGGAGCTGGCTCCCTGGGGATGCTCTGCAGATTCCTGGTTTGCCTGAGTCCCCTGACCTCTGCACACATCTCCTTTAAAAACATCTTCTTGAGCTAATGATTTGTACTAGAATATTTTGAAATGCATGTTTAGCCCATAGAATGCAACCCAATCTATGTTACTTGTTCTGGAAATTACTATCTAGAAGCTAAGAAAACATTGGAAATTGTGCTGTGAACATTGGCACAGCTCAGTCTCAAACCTGGATTCACACCTTCTGGGACACCAAGTGCCCGGGAAGGAATCACTGGGGTGCTTGTGAACATGCAGGTTCTGACTCTGCATTTCCAACAGGCCCCCCACCCGGGGCCAGGGACGCTGCCAGTCTTGCCACCCACCTCCTTTCCACCCAGCTGCTGCTGTGACCCGAGTTTGCCCACAGGGTTGGATTCTTTCGGAGTAAGGATGAAGGAGGGAAACTTAACAAGCCGTTTATTCCCGGTGCTCTCACCAATACTGCCTCCTCATTTAATCTCCATAGCAACCTATGATGTAGACATTATTTTTTATTACTCACATTTGACTCACAGGGAAGAGAAACAATTTCCCTGGAAACTTCCACCACGTTGCTGCCCCCTTTTCCAGATCAGGGTGTCAGAGGGAAGAGGGCCCACTCCCCACCTGAGTGCCTGTGAGTCTAGGGAGGGAGGGGAACAGGACCCCAGCATCATAGAGCACACCTGTTCTCATTCAAACCTGGGAGCCGGACAAGGCAGGATTAGAAGTGAAAGGATGAAGCGGTCCAGGGGGAAGTTTCGCCAGACGGGAAGATGTTCAGCTGGGGCCTGATGGGAGAGGGTGTGACAGCCAAGGCTTCCCCACCCAGCTGGCTCTGTGGCTCCAGCTCCTAGGAACCGTTTCCCTGTGGGGGTGTGCTGGGAGGTCCTGGGGGCTCGCTTCTGCTCCTGTGGGTCCAGTGGGAGAGCGGGGGTCAGGTCCTCAGTCCAGGAACCAGGACTGGTGTCGGGGAGAAAATGCCTTGGGCAGCGGCCCCACGATGGAAGCAGCATCTCCAGTTGTGACAACAGTCAGAGAGGCACATGGACTCAGAAAACATCATCGGCCTGAATCCATGGAAGGCTTCTTTCTATTGCCCCATATCCTCTCAAGCTGTGGCTTCAAATCACCACTGTCACGTTAAAGCAGTGACAGCCGCCAGGCTGCCATCTCCCACCCATCCATCTCTTTGGAGCTGGGACATCAGTTACTAAAGACTAGATTTGACTGCGAGCTGCAGCCTGGGTGCCATGGCAAGGACATGCCCTGGGCTGTGGATGTGGCGATGCGCTCAGCCCCCCGAAGACTCTGCATGAAATGCGGGAGCTCCGCCCTGGATGCGGAGAAATGCAGGCGCCTCTCATCTCACAGACCCCAGGGCCAGTGTTCGGTGCGTCTGGTGACAGATCCATGTACAACGTGCGCATCAAACACAGAGCCACCCTGGGAACTGAAAAAAAACCCTTCCAGGGTTTTCCGTGTATTTGCTTGTTCAGTCCTCAAAGTGACCTTATGATGCAGGGGCTGTGATTGTCCCAGTAATGGCCGAGGAGTGGAGGTGGGGGCAGCTTAGCCATCTTGCCCCGGGTTGGGATTGTAGGAGGGGCAGAGGCTGGTCCACCTCTGGGGCTACCCCAGAATCCATGCACCAGCTGCCTGGCTGGACCAGGAGACAGAGGAAGGCAGGAGCCACAACAAGCACGGCCTTCGAGGTCCCAGGAGTGGATTTCATTTCAAGTTCATCGTGAAGCACAGGCGGCTTCAGGCAAGGGAGAGGCAGGAGCCCATCAGGGTTCCAGGATCAGTCTTGCTGCCCTACTCACATGTCGTAAATGCCACAGCCACGCCCGGGGCTCTGACCCAGTAAGACTGAGCCCACTGCCCCCAGAGTGACCCACACGCTCTCACGTTCTCCTCCTGGGGCTTGGGTTCTACTGTGATGAGTGTCAGTGAAGAGAGGCTATCACGGTCCCAGAGGCAGTGGAGGACATGGCCTCCTGCACAGGGACCGAGTTCGTGGGGAGGGGCATCAGGGAAGGCTCAGACCCACCAGCCACCAGAAGGCGGAGACTCAGCTTCCAGCCCGGGGAGCCCACCCAGCCTCCAGCTAGCGCAGCCCTGCTTTCCATTTTCATGAGCTCAGGACCTTAAGTGACACCCAGAGCTGTGCTTTTAGCAACTTCCATTTCCTCTCATGAAAGACATTTGAGGGCAAATCATAATTGAATTTGAATTTTGGAAGGGACAGAAGAAACTGCCTTTTTTTTTTCTTTTCAACAGCCTTGCACGGGGCAGCTGCATTCCAGATTGTGAACCGGGCACCTACTTTGATTCTGAGCAAATCAGGTGTGGAGAATGTCATCCCACCTGCCAGACCTGCGTGGGTGAGTTCACGACCTCCAGAGACCAGTCAGGTGGAGCCTAAGTTGCCTGGATCAGTGGGTTAACTACCTTGAAATCCAGAAAGTCCTAGGACTCCGTGGTCTTTCCTGCCTTATCGCAGCCTTAAATCCCAGGGGCCCTACCAGGGGATGGGGAAGAGAGGGTGAGGAGATAGGGTTTGATGGGTACAGGCCTTCATTGAAAAAGTCCTGGGGCTGGATGGATGGTGGTGATGGTTGCACAACCATATGAATGTATTTAATGCCACTGAACTGTACGCTTACATGGGTAACATGGTAAATTTTATGTTATATTGCAATTTACCACAATTTTCAAAATTTAAAAAAAACCACCAGGGGCCTCCTTTGAGCTGCCTGGGTTTACCGGCGTCAGGAGTCCAGCCAGGCCGGGGCGGCTTTCAGGCTGAGTAGGGGTGCTAACTGCTCCTGTGCTGTCTTGCCTGGAACCCCAGCCCTTGCTGAGGGATGTCACTGCCCGAGGTGGGACTCTGTGAAGATTGGGGTGTGGAGAGGCATTCTGGTGAAAAGAAGGAGGGGGGAGGCTTTTTAAAATGTAGCCTTGGTACTTTGTTCCTGTCTTCACTAATTTTGAACATTGTATTCAAAGAGGGAAAGACTTCCACAAAGCATTTGATGTGCATTACAATTCCCCGGCAAGACTGGCGTGCAGATGCCTCCCGGGCCTGGTTTTTATGCAGAACAGCAGGGAATGCAACTGTTTGGTGGGATTTCCTGCTGCGGGGTTGTTTGCACCAGGACATAGAAGCCTGTTCGGAGTTGGTGGGCTCACATCCAGATCTGATCAAATTTCTCCTCTTGACCTCCTCCCTTCCTGACCCAGCACTTTGGTCCTTGTTCTAAGAAACCCACATCAGACTGAGGTTTTGCCGCACTAAGGATGTAAGAGTTCTCTCTCTGCTAAATCGCCAGTCTTGGGACATGCAATGGGATGGGCACAGCGCCCCCAGTGTGGCCACGTGAGCCCCATGTCAGGGCCCTTGACCCAAGTGGACATGTCAGAGAGGGCAGGGCTGTGGCCAAGGCCAGCACCCTTGAGGCCCATGGAAGATGCCCCTTCGTGGGTCCCAGCTGGGACAACCCCCCCGAGAAGCGCTTGGAAGCATTCTCAGCCCCTGGCGTTCAGCTGCCTGTCCTGACATTTGCCTTGTTGTCTGTCATTTTTATTCTTTGTTTCTTTGACTCATTGTTTAGCCCAGGATGATTAAGGAGCATCGCTGATGCCACTTATTTAAATTTCACAGCCACTTGAGTTCATAAAATTCAGGCATGTGGCTTTGGATTTCAGTCATTCAGTTTAGTTTCCTTTCTCTCTGTCCCCATACCACCTGTCAGTGCACAGCTTTCTAGAGTCACTCGTGGGTTTTCTTGTAACGGGAGAGTAGGTTTTTGTCTCGTCACAGGAAGAATTCAGAGATGAAACACAGAGGTTAAGAAAGTAAAGTGAGGATTTATTAAGGGATAGGACGCTCTCAAGGGGAGAGCGGGCAGACGTAGGTGAGCAGCTGCCCTGAGTTTCTTTGGCAAGTTGGTTACACAGGGTGTAAAAGTGAATGGGCGGAATTTTCACCAGGGAGGAAAGGGTTTGGGGTTGTTTGTATCCCCTGATTTCATCCCAGCTCCACCTTCCCGAGGGGAGGAGGGATTTTGTCCTTACTTAGTCTGGAT